TGATGTCAAGACAAAGTACAGAAGACTGGAGGTGGGGGAGGGCGCAGCAGCAGAAACGCACCATTTGGATTTTGTTAGGTGATGGTACGTCCGGATCTGGAGATGGCGGTGAAGGCATAATCATCTGCAAATCATCCGAATCTTATTCGACCTCCCGAATTGCTTCCATATGCGGCGAAATTGCCGCGGGCCAACCATTCTTGAATTGGAGCAGCTGCATGTACTCATCCACAAGCTGCTGATTCTCCTCTACTGTGCTCCCGATGCTCGGCTTCAGTGTGTCGGCAAGTGGCGGTTCCGTTCTATCCTGTCCCTGACGACTCGTCGTTGCCTTCAAAGGGGATAGGTAGAGGAGAAAAAGAGGATGAATAAAAATAGTCAGCAAGTAGTATAAATAGTCTAGGCAGTTATATTTCGATAAAATGGCAAACTGTCCATCGATACTCACAGACCCGATTGCAAACACCTCAGCGGTTTCTGTGGAGTTCAAACCGCCGGCAGCAAGGAAAAGACGACGAAAAGCCGACGATCTAATCATCTGAGCGAAGGAACCCCACCGGGAGCCGTATGTTCAATCACAGTTGGGTCAAATTACCTATCTAGTCTACTTTAACATATGGAACCTGTTGGGACGGCCTGGACGCGAGTTATCACTCGGGTAATCCTGAGAGTATCAGAACAAAGGGAGCGTACTGGCGACCGGTTCATGCAGTTACGAGCGACCTTCAATGGGCGTACATTAGGCAAGGACAAAGGGGGCACGCGCAAGCGAGACTGCCTCTCGGCCGGGTTGTTGCTATCGGGAGGTCACGCTGAGGACACGATGGCTGAAGCATGACGGCTGCCTGTAGAGGCCACTCGTAGAGAGCCAATAGGAAACAATGACTACTGGCCCTTAGATATGCTGCCACCGCTGAAGGCGGGACACTGTTGCTGGAGACGTGCTACCGAAGACCCGAGATTCCGCTGCTAGCGACCCGGGACACGGCTGCTAGAGACGCGGAACGCTGTTGGCCAAGACGACGACAGAACACAAGCTGCTGGACACACAGGAAACAGAGCTGATTTATCAGTAGAACTGACAGTAAAGTACTATCTGCTATCCTGTTCTGCCTTCTCTCTCTAACGCGTAACTGGGGGACATAACCAGTGTTGACACAGGAGCACCCAAGGTTATAACAGTGGAGATGCAGGTGAGAGCAATCAAGCCTATAAAAAAGAAAAATCGCACTTTCCCCCCCCCCATTCCTTTAGTCGTTACTTATCAAGCGCTTTCCCACAATGGTAAATACAGTTCAAAAAGCGATTTAATCTGCCACAGCTGCAACGGCGATGAATGGCTTTGATTGATGTCTACTTAACCCGTGGGGCAATTTGCATCGCTATGAAATCACATAACCTTAGGCTTTTTCGCTTTTTTGCAAACTAACCCAAACATTCCTTAAATACTTAGACAGGACTGAGCGATCATTTAGAACATACGACTGATCAATTTATTCCCCGTATGTGAGCACTTTAGATTATTCTCAGCGTGCGCAAATTCAATGTTATGTTTGCCCTTCGAAGCGACCTTATTTCATTTTGCATTCACCCCCACTTCTGCAAGCAGTCGCACCAACTTCTAGTCATACACTTTCATCACAGCTCTCGACGACAACAGTTTGGATGCCCCTCCATTTACCGCCTTTAGAATAAGATTGAAGTTTGCTGAGGAAAAGGAATTATTTTGTACATCTGTCTAAGAAATTAACCCCGACGGAAAAGTTAACTTCAGTCGAAGACCTTGTCAGTTGATTCGCTTTTGCCCTGAGTACTGTATGTGGTGAACAGTCGTCGACAATATCAATATTCCAGCTCTATGCGACTTACAGAGTTAAGCCAACTATCCAAGTGCCTGAAAACTTTAATGAATGGATTACAGGGCACGTGCATTGCCTACAGAAGCGGCAAAAAGCGTACGCGCAAACACCGACAAACAAAAAATCCCTGTTTAACAACCCGCTTATCTGTTACTCCTCTTCTCCCAAACAGAAATCTGACCGAAACAAGGCAGGGTCATTTGTTTCAGACGCGGCTTATTCAAGTTATTTCAAGGATGGTCTTCAAAAAAAGGCATTACAGCCACGTGCCCTTCAGCTCAACACACGTGCCCTGTTGTTTTGTTTCTTCATTTTGTTCGTAACAGAGCAAATAATTCATTTATTCAGGAGCGTAGATCAGGTGACAGGACCTTCAGTCAGGTTTGAGTCTGGGAAGCAGCTTGCACCTGTTTGATTACACGTGAAAACTCATACGGTCGCGTGTTTTCTCGAACAAACACCGAAAACTTGCCTTATGAATTAAAAAAGTGTTCTTAAGAATTCGAAGAGTACAAAAATTGTCTATGTACATTCATATTATGTACAGGGTTTTTATATATGAAACCCGTTTTAGATAGAGTTATTATCCCGATTAAATGAGTGCAACTGGGTAGAAAATTGAACTACTTAATAACATCCAGTTCTGTAACTTATTTGAAAACGAATAAGAACTAAGAAGGATGATAAGCTTAATTTTAACCTTATGACTGCATGGGGCTTAATTTTTGCTAAAGATACTTTACTATAAAAAAATAAGTATGCGAAAAGTTGTGTACTTCTCTAAAAGTCTTCTTCCCAGATGGTTGTCCGAGTCAATTACAGTCACTCGAATGGCAGCCAGTCTTTTATTCTAATGCTGTCAGTAAGATGACGTCTAGCAATTAAACCGTCTTGTGTGGGTTGTCCTGGTTAGTTTTTTTCTGCGCTTGATCCACAACTGACAACTCATTAGTAAGATGACTGCGGCCGAGTTCGGCCTTAATGGTCTTGTCAAAACAGTTGACCGCCTGTACTCGTTGTTACTGACATAATTCAACAGAGATCTTCCTGAACGCCCGTTTGAGATACAAGTGGAAGCCGTTATCTTTTGAGGAATTTTGAACATTTCCGGTCGACAGCCCACAACATTCGCTTCAGCCTAATAGTGCTGCAACAATTACGAGTATCTTGTGCTAGATAGTTCAGAGAAGGAACTTAATTAGCACTTGCAAAAAGTAGCTTTTTTGAAAAATATCTACTTACTAAGTATGCATTTAATGCACTGATTGTTTATGTTCATAAAAATTCAATTCTACTTTGTAGAAAACATTCACAGAGATATTCGTTCTTGTATAAGTTCGCTATCGTATTACGACTTCTTCAAATATTATGCACACAGAAAACGTATCTGGCAATTTAGTAAAATGTTTCGCAAGTGCCTAATAGTATTACAACCTACCGACCGTTACAATCAAATCCGTGCTGTGTACATTCCTTCTAAGGAAAATATGTTTTTCTACTGTGTAAGGAAATATACCATACGACTGCAATATAATTTTGCAATAAATGTAGACCACAATGACTAAATTATGGGTAATGCTTACGAATTGATAGATTTATGTCATAGGAATGAAAATTCCTCAGTTGTAAAAAATGGTGGCATCATGCATTGTTGGACAACCGAATAAATATACCCATCCTGCAAGAACATATGCAAAGGAAGATGTAATTTGCTACTAAACGCGTGCAAGAACGAATAATTTTGTGCATGTTTTCTATCGAATATACTTAAAATTATTATGAGGGTGAAAATAAATATGTTAAGCGCATACTACTTAAGAAGCTATTATTTACAGAATATACTTTTTATGGGGTCAGAAAGAATTCCGTTAAAAAGCGGACACCATGACGTGACTGAAATGACTTGCAATGAGGCTGCACGATAGTCAGTACTACAACCTTACTTGATGCCATTTTGCGAGTGGTTATATACATTCATTAAATACCGGCCGTACTGTTCATCAATCCCGCTTTTGCTTGTGTTACCGCGGCGCTTATCGACAGGAGCTCTTACGAGGCGCCATTTTCCTCATTCTGTGACAATTACAGTAAGAAGCCAGCATCTGCATGGTAACTGCTTTTTGTATACACTGGTGTCTATGCTGCCAACGTTTTTGAGGTGACACCATGAATGTGTTCATCTAACAGCGTGTCCGACTCCGTGGCATCATAGTAAGTTCCAAATGCTGACCCTAACGTTACAATTTTATATCAGGAAAAATTTCCGCTGAATTAGCACGTTGCATCTTCAAAAGTAACGTTTTGATAACAATACGCTACATTTTAAGTTAACGACTCCATGCGGCTTAAATTATTGTTTAAAATACTATACTATAAAACATATAAATATGCACAAATGTTGTGTGCTTGCATAAACGTCTTTCTTCCACACTGTTATCCGATTCAATTACAGTCACTCTAATAGATAGCATCCAGTCTTTGTTTCTATAACGTCAGTAAGATGACGTTCAGCATTTACAACCACCTTGTGTTTGTGTTCTCTTGGATAGTTTTTTTGCGTTTGATTTGCAATTGACTACTCATTAGCGAGATGACTGCGGCGTTCCTTGCGCCGCTGCGAGTTCGGCGCAAATGGTCTTGTCAAAATTACTAGCCAATTCAGCTCCTTAGTACTGACATAATTGAAGGCAGATCTTTATGAATGTCCATTTGAGATACGAACGCAAGCTATAGTTTTTAGCCATTTTCGCTTGACAGTCCACGCCATTCGCTTCGGCCAAACGGTGCTGCGAAAACTATGAGTATATAAATCACTAGATAATTTGGAATCTGAATTTGCTTACATGCGTTTATTTCACATTAAATTAACAGTAGAACAAAGACAAGAATACTTGAGTCCGCAATGTTTTTATATCTCCCAAACAATATAAAACGCCAGAATTTCATATAAGCAAATTAAGGAGGCATTGCGGGCATTGATAGTAGGGTTCGTTTGAATGCAGCCTAGAAGAGAACCATTAACAATGTAAATTGGGTCTGTAGGAACAAGCTACATTAGGTGGGCTAACACATGAAATCCCAGGATTTATGCAAGAAACTCTAGTTAACGCAAACGCAGCGCAAGGTGCACCTCTCAAAGGCTTAAAGCAATAAAGGAACGGTCGCTTTTCAAAATAGGGCATATTGCGATTCATCAAGTATTATGACTTCTTTCAGAAATACCAAATTTTTTGGTAATCCCGAAAATTCCAAAAAAAGTGAATATCAGGCGCACTAGGTAGAGAAAGCCTTTCAATGCAAAGGACATTGCGTGAATAAAACAGCACAAGTAGAAAAACGTTTAAATATCATAGTAACTGAATTCTTAAAATTTGGACACTTTATTAAAGTGTCTGTAGTTCATAGCGAATAGCTGAGTAGTTTAACGTAGAATTTGCGGTATCTAAGACAAGGTAGCCCGCGTGTATATTGAGAGATTCGCGTGTTAACGCCGAAATAAGAGCAAACATCAAAACAGACGAAAATGAATCCTCAGCTCCAGGAATCTTTTGCTAACTTCCAGAGAGAGTAGCGTGGATGCATAGCTTGAATTTGTGACGGTAATGGCGATAGCGTGGAAAAGAATACATCTTCGAGTAAGACTTACGAGGAAGAACTTAAGTTTACTATTAAAGTCGAG